GTGTAACTGGTGTAATTTACACTGGTGGACACTACACCAATAGCGAACGAAAGAACCTATTATGTCCTGTAAACTGAAACCAAAGATATGGATGCCTACAAACTAAATCATGAAGTGGTAGGAGGAGGGAAGATCCGAAATGAAACGTGATGATGTCATAGCTTACTGTATCCTCTTAAAGCAACACACTACACATTTTTTTTATATATTCCAGAAAAAAGTGTCATAATTTTAACCACGTATTTAGCGCATCAAAACAAACAACTTGTCAAATATAAGTTTTGAAAATTTACCTTCTTTGTTTGATATTTGTAAACCCTAAAATAACCCTAACGAGTTGTCTGTGATAAAATAAAATCTAGCAAAGTTTTTAATACATGATTCACAATGTTAGGTATACATTTTTTTGCTAGCACACACCGGACGATTATTTTTAAGTTTAGTTGTGCATGTCGATTATTTTTAATTTTAGTTGTGCATGTCGATTAATAGCTTGCGGTATGATTTATTTTGCTTCTTAAAATGCCGATTTTTACCAATGGTGTTAGTTTAGAACGGGTAAAAACAAATTTTCATAGGCGTGTTCAATTATGCTTAGAATATAAAGGAGGACATTTTGAACATTGTGAAATAATTTGTGCATTTTTAAAATAAGAAGGCTATAAAAGATTTTTTTGGTAAGTCAAAAATTCTTTATTTCTTTATGTGCAAAGATTAACAAAACATTGTTTACATATTTAGTTTTATAACAGAATCAAATTTTATAGCACAAAAAATATAATTCGATTTGAAAATTGTTTTAAAAAAAAATATTTTTATTTAAACAAGTACAATATTTTTATGACTTATTAATTGCAAGCTAACATCAGACTAAAAATAAAATAAAAAAAATGTTAAACACTTGTTCAGAGATAACCAGTAACTTGAACTACCGGCCGGTATTCAGTGAATATTATTTTTGGAGTCACAGTTTATTGCTAAAGAATCAGTTAGCTCACTCGGACCAGTTGAAAGTTCCAAAATAACATCCACTTCAGGGATACAAATTCAGGATACGCAGAAGACTGCTGTTTTATTATAGGCGGTTGTCATATATTGTATTATCCAAGTTGCTCAGTAAACTGAAACATTGAGATCAAAAGTGCCGACGCAGAGTGAGCGAGCTGATTCTTTAGCTGTAAACTGTAGCATATGAATCAAAATGGCCGCACCCTATGTTGGGCGTCTTTACATACTTTCATTACTAGACGGTACAAGAGAGAGGTCCGACACGCCCAACATAGGTCGCGGCCATTTTGATTCCTATGCCACAGTTTATAACTAAAGAATCAGATCGCTCACTCTGCGTCGGCACTTTTTATCTCAATGTTCCAGTTTATACACTGCGCAACTCGGATGATACAATATATGACAACCGCCTATAATAAAACAGCAGTCTTCTGCGTATCCTAAATTTGTATCCCTGGAGTGGATGTTATTTTGGAACTTTCAACTGGTCCGAGTGAGCTAACTGATTCTTTAGCAATAAACTGTTACTCCAAAAATAATATTCACTGAATATTATTCACTATTCGATGGCCATTTAAGATTTTAACAGAAACACATGGCTCCCGATTCTGAGACCGCCATTTCAATCTTGACACCATGGTGTCACAATCAGAAGTGATATGACAACTCTGTGGACTCATTACTCCTATTAGGTTTGACAGGTTCAATGATGTAAATATAAATGTATATATAGATTGCTCAGTTTGTTTATTTCTTCAAGCATATAGTTTGAGTTAATGGCCGTGTTCATCGTCGTCAAACATGTTTTAAAAGCAAAGAAACATGTTTCATAAGCGGTTGGAATGACGCTGAACGATCATTTTTGTTTACGATTTGTTTTCTCAACCTCAAATCTGTCAAAAAATGGAATGACATTTGGTTGGCACAAAGAAGGTTATGTGAATTGTTTACTTTAGTATTTTTTAAAAAAAATTGAGTTGAATTGATTTGTACAGTGAATTAGAGTTTATATAAGTACCCTTCTGAAAGTGGTTTTGACAATTTTACGGCGAAAAACCTACAACTTGTATTATTTTGGGTTGTAAAGTCATGATGTTTTTATTGCCTCTATGGATCTTGAATTCTACATACTTAAGACTAATCAAAGAAATTGTAATAGTCATTTTATTAAAGGTAAAATACATTTTTTTGACACACAAATAAAAACATACTGTAACTAGATCATACTTTGAAGAGCAGAATGAGAATGCTATTTATTGTGTTTAATCAACTGTCTGGTCTGCACCAATAAATTAAAGGAACTCATGATACTAATAACATACATATCAAAAAGTGATCTTTTTACATATATCAAGGATACATAAAAGTGTTTAATAATAGAGACATCAAGTATGACTTTCTTATTTTTAGGGAAACAGACTTCCTTCAAAGTTAGTAATCATTTAAACTGGACTCCAGCCCAGAACTTGAGGCATGTGTCTCAAACCAGTTCAAAACTAACTGATTCGAAAAAGGAGGAAGAGATAAAAACGAAAATCAACCTGAAGTAAACTTTTATTTTTGAGTCATACCTAACATCATAAGTCCCGCTTTAGGCAAGACAAACCCACTTTCAAGTTATGTGTTCCATTGTCCCCAAAGAATGCAAGAATGTCCCGCTTTAAAAGAAAAAGTGATCTGATTCAAAACATTTTTCAAAAAAGAGTGGTATCTCATATAAATATGTGCTAGTGAAAAAAACTTACTTAATTTGAAGTATCAGTATTGAAAGCCAAGCATAACATAAACAAGTCACGTCAACAGTTCCATTCCCATTTAAAAACTAAAATATAGAAAATTAGCCCACTAAACAAGTTTTATTTCGCTTTTCTAATTTCTAATAAATAAACAAAATTATGTTATTTCACTTATTTTTAATACATTTTTTTATTATATTATTGTTTTACTTTTACTACAATCTTACTGTTGTTATTCTACATTAAAAATAATGAAAAATTGCTGTTGTCTTTTAAAATTTACAGGCTTCTTGCTGTGAGGTAAGAAATGATAACGTTTTATTACAAAAACCGAAAATTGTTAAAATAATCCCTATCTAATGCTTTACTTATTTTTTTACAAAGTATTTTTGATTTAGGTACTTAGGTGTTATACATTTTTGGTCATTGCTAATATTCATATTGAGTCTGAATTATTTTTATGTATTAATAAAATTTGTCTAGTATTATAGAGTTATACATACCTTATCGACAAACTATATACATTAATTCTTTTATAGGAATTATATATTTTGTATTGGAAATTAATAAATATACAAACTTAATGTTGTCATATAGGTAGAGCGACTTATTAGCAAAAATTATTTGAAATGTATACAGTAATGAGGTATTTTTTTAAAGGTTCAACAAACCAAGGTGGGCCCTTTTTAATATAATTGCTTATATTTAATTTATTTTGTAAATAAAATGTCATACTTTTATTATTATTATTTATTTTTTAATGCCCTTTTGGCCCTATATACATTACATGAAAACAAAAACATCGGTGCAGTTTTAATAACAAAACTCGTCTGTTTTGAATAACTGTGCTAAAACTATATAATATGTAGGTATGTTATATTATCCATATTCCTTACTGGTGGAATCCCATTAACGTCCAAATGAAATAATTTAAGCATACGTGTATGTATCTACGTCTGGAATTAATTTTATTTTCTTCAAATAGGTATCTCCATAAATACAATATTATATTAAAATACAACTTAACTAATCAACTCTATTAGGGTATAAAACCTTAAAAATATAAATAAACAAACAAACACATAACCTAACAAAATGCCAAAAGACGGATTTGACAGGGGTCCAAGGTCAATTTTATGCTTTTAAAGCAAACAAGCGAGTTTATTTTCGCTTTTATGCTTCTTCAAAAGCGCTGCAGCGGTTGACAGTTCATCGTCACCGCTTACTCAGCGTTACAACATGTTTGACGACGATGAACACGGCCAATGTTAGTTTATGCTGTTTCACTTTTAAAACAACTTCAGAAGAATCTAGCGGTTAGCGTAATATATGATTTAATAAGATCATATTTTATTTGTCTATATTAAATATAAGGAATACCTTAAAAGGGAATAAACAAATTTTATAAAATATTTTTTAAGGTATTTTAAGTTTAATAATTCTTGAATAATATTATGAATTTTTTTGCAAAATTAAGTAAATCGAAAATAAAAAAAAAATTAAGACTTACTATTACCGTTGTCATCTTCACTTGACGTGTTTTCCAGATTTATGATGCAAGAATGACGCAGAAATATTCGATAAGTGTTGCCAGACTAGTACAATTGTACTAGATTTATTACATTTTCTAAGAATCTGGTATTCTAGTACTCTAGAAGACAGATCCAGTACATTTTTCAGCGTGTTACCATTATACCATCTGGGGGTCGATTCTCGACTTGTAGGAACCTTTTCCTATAGGAATTTGTGACACTTGCCTATATGTAGGTAAATGTCATAAATTTTAGATGTATAGAAATATGTCAAAAATTCCTATAGGAAAATATTCCTACAAGTCGATAATCGACCCCCTGATGTGTGTAAAATATTGTTAGGATCTTACTCCTTGTTTTGTTTTTGTTCGCTAAAAACCCTTTTTTTTTCCTTAATGTACCAAACCGCATCACAATTCATTCATTTTACAGAATCTAGTACATTTTTATGCAATATAGTACATTTTTTAGACAAATCTGGAACATAACAAAAATATATTCTGGCAACACTGTTCAATAATTATTTTCTATATTCTTGACATAGCAAACCAATTGGTTCATATTACTGGAGTTATTTCTACAACAACTTCTTATATGATCGAAAATACTCGATTCATCGAAAATAATCGATTAATTATCGATTTTTTGTCCCCACCCCTAATGTTAACACATTTGATGTACAAACTGTAACAGGGATTTTCGGTAGGTAAAATAAAACGTCAACTGTCAATTTCTTAATTCTCAATGTAATAAAAATGTGAAATAAATTACAAATATTCTCGAAGCTTTTTAATCATAATGTTAATCCTTTGTCAGCAAATTATTTACACTTCGACATTCTAAACAGCTTTGGTTTCTTGCTGTTCGAATTTCGGATACTTGCTTTCTATGTTGTTCCAGGTCTGTTTGCTGTACGACAAATTGTGTACTACCGTAGCAATGTCTTCAACCTAAAAAAAATGGATCAGATAAATAGGATTTAAAAACACAGCGCATAATTAAGAGTTAAAAACACAACTCAATTTTAACCTTAAAAAGAGCCAAGTACGACATGAATTTTAAAATTGCAAAAACAATGTCTTTAACCTCAATAGTACGGTTCTGCATACATTTCAGACATTGGCCATACATTTTAAAATTTTAGATAATTATTAAGACTTAAAAACACAAAAAGTAGTTAAGACTAAAAAAACAGCATAATTATTAAGACTTAAAAACACAAAGCGAAGTGAAGACTAAAAACACAGCATAATTATTAAAACTTAAAAACACAAAGCATAATTATCAAGACTTAAAAAAACACAAAGCATAATTAAGATTTAAAAACACAACTCATAATTAAGACTTAAAAACAACGCATTTTTAACTGTAAAAGGAAATAAATACGGTTCTGCATAAATTTCAAACATTGGTCATAAATTTTAAAATTTCAAAAAATATCTTCAACCTAAAAAATGGATCAGATAATTATTTAGACTTAAAAACACAAAGCGTAATTAAGACTTAAAAACACAAAGCGTAATTAATACTAAAAACAAAAAATTATTCAGACTTAAAAACACAAAGCAAAATTATTAAAACTTAAAAACACCGCATAATTAAGACTTAAAAACACACCGCATAATTAAGAATTAAAAACACAAGTCAATTTTAACCATAAAATGAAATAAGTATGACTCTGAATATATTTCAGATATACGCTATAAATTTTAAAATTGAAGAGACAATGTCTTCAACCTTAATAATAAATCAAATAATTAAGACTTAAAAACACAAAGCACAATTAAGACTTAAAAACGCAACTCATAATTAAATACTTAAAAACACAATGCATTTTTAGCTGTATAATGAACTAAAAACGGTTCTGCATAAATTTCAGACATTGGTCATAAATTTTAAAATTTCTAAAACAATATCTTCAACCTAAAAAATTGATCAGATAATTATTTAAACTTAAAAATACAAAGTGTATTTAATACTGAAAAACAGCATAATTATTAAGACTTAAAAACACAAAGCATAATTATTAAAACTTAAAAACCCAAAGCATAATTAAAAACACACCGCACAATTAAGACTTAAAAACACAACTTAATTTTAACCATAAAATTAACTAATTATGGCTCTGAATATATTTCAGACATACGCCATAAATTTTAAAATTGAAGAAACAATGTCTTCAACCTTAATAATGAATCAAATAAGTAAGACTTAAAAACACAAAACACAATTAAGACAAAAACGCAACTCATAATTAAGACTTAAAAACACAACACATTTTTAACCGTAAAATGAACTTAGTACGGCCCTAGCATACATTTCAGACATTGGCCAAACATTTTAAAATTGTAAAAACAATATTTTCAACGTAAAAAATGGATCAGATAATTATTAAGACTTAAAAACATAAAGCGTACTTAAAATAAAAACAGCATAATTATTAAGATTTAAAACGCAAATTATAATTAAGACTTAAAAACACCGCATAATTAAGACTTAAAAATACACCGCATAATTAAAACTTAAAAACACAACTCAATTTTAACCATAAAATGAACTAAGTATGACTGAATATATTTCAAATATACGCCATAAAAATTGAAGAAACAATGTCTTCAACCTTATTAATGGATCAAATAATTAAAAATTAAAGACACAAAGCACAATGAAGACTTAAAAACGCAACTCATAATTAAATACTTAAAAACACAATGCATTTTTAACTGTATAATGAACTAAAAACGGTTCTGCATAAATTTCAGACATTGGTCATAAATTTTAAAATTTCTAAAACAATATCCTCAACCTAAAAAATGGATCAGATAATTATTTAGACTTAAAAACATAAAGCGTAATTTAGGCTGAAAAACACAACTCATTTTTAACAGTAAAATAAACTAAGTATGGCCTAACCCCGACTCCAGATTACATAAGCAGCAGATAATTCTTCAAAAAAGGGGAACTTTGAACCAAAACAAACACTTACCGGTATTCTAACTTGTCCCATAGAATCTCTTTCCCTCAAAGTGACAGTATTTGGTTCCTTCAACGTATCAAAATCAATGGTAATACCGTACGGTATAGCAATTTCGTCTGTCCTTGCATATCTTCTTCCTATCGATCCAGAACTATCATCTACTTTATGAGAAACATCAACTTTGGTCAATCCGGTAGCTATATAAAAATGAAAATTATTACTTTTGTTTCAGATGGCGCTGCCGGTATCTAATAAACACTTACAGATTTTCCTAATGAACGGTACGAACTCCTGGTTCGAACTCAGTGGAAGAACGCTACATTTTAAAGGTGCAACAATGGCTGGCAGAGAAAGGTAAGTCCTTTGTTCGTCGTTTTCTCGTTGTTTGAAATTGTGCTCAAAGATGGCGTACATTACGCGACCGACACCTAAAAAGGTACTCCGTATAACAGTAAAATAAAAGAAAACGTGGCTAAAATTGATCGAGGTTGCGAGTAAAAATCTGCTAGGTTCGCTAGTGTGTTTACGGTAACAGTGTTGCCAATAACGAGGATTTTACACGATTTTCGGGTATTTTTACTCAACAAATTTGGTTACATCGTTGGGTACAAATCAAATGGTACCCTGTGTGTATCTAAATAAGATGTCTGGGAACTTATTAGTTATTACAAAGAATCTTTTATTTTAACAATATTAAGATAAACTCTAATTCATTGGAATAAAGATTTGTAGAAATATTATTTTGATGGTTTTGTTAATAATATTATATAACAAAATAATGGACTGTATAGTAATTAATGGGGTAAAAAAACAAGAATGGAATAAAAATGATAGACTTCAATAAAAGAAACGATTTAACAATTGGAAATACAATAAGGGAACAGATATTCGAAGATAAATACACATTTGTGGTAAAAGAAAGAAATTTAAAAAGCTTTATAGACTATATAACATATGCTTAAAACTTAAGAAGTAAAATTTAAAAGAGTTGAAACAAAGATGGAAGTAGGAATAAGATCCAGTAACAAATTAGTCTCAGCAAACTTTCGATTTGAATTTAATAAGAAAGAAAACTAGTAAACAGTAATAAATAAGTTAAAAATAGGATGACTTTCTTGCCTAGTTATTATAGGATTTTTCCGGTTATTTTGTACAACCTATTGTATCACCCCTGTAAATATTCATTGCCAACGAAAATATTGCAAAATTAAAATTTTACATTTTCCATTACGGTCCATTTTAGAAGATTTATTTGAAGAAGTCTTTTAAAAATTAAAATTTTGCACTTTTTGTCGAATTTCTCGAATACGGACCATTTTAGGAAAATTATGTATAAGACAAAAATTATACAGAATGATACCGTAAACAATTTTTATTTGAAGAATTTTCTTCTTTAAACGTAAATAACAGAGATATTCGTTAAAGTAAATAATGGCACCCTATAAAATACCCCCTAGATGTTCCGACTATGTCCAAAATTTAATCAGTTTACCGCAGGATGAATTAAAGCATAAATTTAAAATGTTGCATTTTTTTCATCTGTTTTTGAATCATCTTCAAAATTTTCTCAAATATCTCGAATACATTAAAATGAGTCGTAGAAAAAATATCCTAATAATTTTAACTAACAAAAACTTACATTAAAATGAGTCGCAGAAAAAATATCCTAATAATTGTATCCAATAAAAACCTACATTAGAATGAGTCGTAGAAAAAATATCACAGTAGTTTTATCTAATAAAAACCTACATTAAAATGAGTCGTAGAAAAAATATCATAGTAGTTTTATCTAATAAAAACCTACATTAGAATGAGTCGTAGAAAAAATATCCTAATAATTTTAACTAATAAAAACTTACATTAAAATGAGTCGCAGAAAAAATATCCTAATAATTGTATCCAATAAAAACCTACATTAGAATGAGTTGTAGAAAAAATATCACAGTAGTTTTATCTAATATAAACCTACATTAGAATGAGTCGTAGAAAAAATATCCTAATAATTTTATCTAATAAAAACCTACATTAGAATGAGTCGTAGAAAAAATATCCTAGTAGTTTTATCTAATAAAAACTTACATTAGAATGAGCCGTAGAAAAAATATCCTAATAATTTTATCCAATAAAAACCTACATTAGAATGAGTCGTAGAAAAAATATCATAGTAGTTCTATCTAATAAAAACCTACATTAGAATGAGTCGTAGAAAAAATATCCTAATAATTTTATCTAATAAAAACCTTACATTAGAATGAGTCGTAGAAAAAATATCCTAGTAGTTTTATCTAATAAAAACATACATTAGAATGAGTCGTAGAAAAAATATCCTAGTAGTTTTATCTAATAAAAACCTACATTAGAATGAGTCGTAGAAAAATATCCTAGTAGTTTTATCTAAGAAAAACCTACATTAGAATGAGTCGTAGAAAAAATATCCTAGTAGTTTTATCTAATAAAAACCTACATTAGAATGAGTCGTAGAAAAAATATCCTAGTAGTTTTATCTAATAAAAACCTACATTAGAATGAGCAGTAGAAAAAATATCCTAATAATTTTATCCAATAAAAACCTACATTAGAATGAGTCGTAGAAAAAATATCATAGTAGTTCTATCTAATAAAAACCTACATTAGAATGAGTCGTAGAAAAAATATCCTAATAATTTTATCTAATAAAAACCTTACATTAGAATGAGTCGTAGAAAAAATATCCTAGTAGTTTTATCTAATAAAAACCTACATTAGAATGAGTCGTAGAAAAAATATCCTAGTAGTTTTATCTAAGAAAACCCTACATTAGAATGAGTCGTAGAAAAAATATCCTAGTAGTTTTATCTAATAAAAACCTACATTAGAATGAGTCGTAGAAAAAATATCCTAGTAATTTTATCTAATAAAAACCTACATTAGAATGAGTCATAGAAAAAATATCCTAATAGTTTTATCTAATAAAAACCTACATTAAAATGAGTCGTAGAAAAAATATCCAAGTAATTTTATATAATAAAAACCTACATTAGAATGAGTTGTAGAAAAAATATCATAGTAGTTTTATCTAATAAAAACCTACATTAGAATGAGTCGTAGAAAAAATATCCTAATAATTTTAACTAATAAAAACTTACATCAAAATGAGTCGCAGAAAAAATATCCTAATAATTGTATCCAATAAATCCTACATTAGAATGAGTCGTAGAAAAAATATCACAGTAGTTTTATGTAATAAAAACCTACATTAGAATGAGTCGTAGAAAAAATATCAAAGTAGTTTTATCTAATAAAAACCTACATTAGAATGAGTCGTAGAAAAAATATCCTAATAATTTTAACTAATAAAAACTTACATTAAAATGAGTCGCAGAAAAAATATCCTAATAATTGTATCCAATAAAAACCTACATTAGAATGAGTTGTAGAAAAAATATCACAGTAGTTTTATCTAATAAAAACCTACATTAGAATGAGTCGTAGAAAAAATATCCTAATAATTGTATCTAATAAAAACCTACATTAGAATGAGTCGTAGAAAAAATATCCTAATAATTTTATCTAATAAAAACCTACATTAGAATGAGTCGTAGAAAAAATATCCTAGTAGTTTTATCTAATAAAAACTTACATTAGAATGAGCCGTAGAAAAAATATCCTAATAATTTTATCCAATAAAAACCTACATTAGAATGAGTCGTAGAAAAAATATCATAGTAGTTCTATCTAATAAAAACCTACATTAGAATGAGTCGTAGAAAAAAGATCCTAATAATTTTATCTAATAAAAACCCTACATTAGAATGAGTCGTAGAAAAAATATCCTAGTAGTTTTATCTAATAAAAACCTACATTAGAATGAGTCGTAGAAAAAATATCCTAGTAATTTTATCTAATAAAAACCTACATTAGAATGAGTCATAGAAAAAATATCCTAATAGTTTTATCTAATAAAAACCTACATTAAAATGAGCCGTAGAAAAAATATCCAAGTAGTTTTATATAATAAAAACCTACATTAGAATGAGTCGTAGAAAAAATATCATAGTAGTTTTATCTAATAAAAACCTACATTAGAATGAGTCGTAGAAAAAATATCCTAATAATTTTAACTAATAAAAACTTACATCAAAATGAGTCGCAGAAAAAATATCCTAATAATTGTATCCAATAAATCCTACATTAGAATGAGTCGTAGAAAAAATATCACAGTAGTTTTATCTAATAAAAACCTACATTAGAATGAGTCGTAGAAAAAATATCATAGTAGTTTTATCTAATAAAAACCTACATTAGAATGAGTCGTAGAAAAAATATCCTAATAATTTTAACTAATAAAAACTTACATTAAAATGAGTCGCAGAAAAAATATCCTAATAATTGTATCCAATAAAAACCTACATTAGAATGAGTTGTAGAAAAAATATCACAGTAGTTTTATCTAATAAAAACCTACATTAGAATGAGTCGTAGAAAAAATATCCTAATAATTGTATCTAATAAAAACCTACATTAGAATGTGTCGTAGAAAAAATATCCTAATAATTTTATCTAATAAAAACCTACATTAGAATGAGTCGTAGAAAAAATATCCTAGTAGTTTTATCTAATAAAAACTTACATTAGAATGAGCCGTAGAAAAAATATCCTAATAATTTTATCCAATAAAAACCTACATTAGAATGAGTCGTAGGAAAAATATCATAGTAGTTCTATCTAATAAAAACCTACATTAGAATGAGTCGTAGAAAAAAGATCCTAATAATTTTATCTAATAAAAACCTTACATTAGAATGAGTCGTAGAAAAAATATCCTAGTAGTTTTATCTAATAAAAACATACATTAGAATGAGTCGTAGAAAAAATATCCTAGTAGTTTTATCTAATAAAAACCTACATTAGAATGAGTCGTAGAAAAAATATCCTAGTAGTTTTATCTAAGAAAAACCTACATTAGAATGAGTCGTAGAAAAAATATCCTAGTAGTTTTATCTAATAAAAACCTACATTAGAATGAGTCGTAGAAAAAATATCCTAGTAATTTTATCTAATAAAAACCTACATTAGAATGAGTCATAGAAAAAATATCCTAATAGTTTTATCTAATAAAAACCTACATTAGAATGAGTCGTAGAAAAAATATCCTAGTAGTTTTATATAATAAAAACCTACATTAGAATGAGTCGTAGAAAAAATATTCTAGTAGTTTTATCTAATAAAAACCTACATTAGAATAAGTCATAGAAAAAGTAACCTAGTAGAGTTTGTTGAATGAAAAACTTATTCGTAGAAAAAATATTGAAGGTCCTTCCGTCAATGTTAATATGCTTATTTACGTTGAGCAAAAAATCCAGGGGTAGAATCTACATCCTGTCATAATATATATTTCCTACAAAAGTCGTTTCATCGGTCTGAGAAAATGTATCACCAATTTTTAACTTATTACGTTTTTCAAGTTGATTTCTATTTCACAACACCGTTTTCCCCGTTTGATTTGGGCCAATAACAACGAAGATATCTACTTAGATCCTTTTAGCTTTGTCATTGCACATAATTCCCCCACTCCCCCGTGTATTTCGTTTTGTAACATTTTAAAGTTCCATTTAAAAATGTTATTCTAATTTGGTGACATCCTGTATAAAATAGTATTCGTTTAATTTGGGATTTAATTATCGGCAATAGCAATATACTTAGAGAGGGAAATTTCTCTAGGTGGGGATCTGGCTTTTCTAAAAAATTCATTTCCCATTATTTGATATCTCTAAGAATCAGAGTTTAGTGTCAAGACTGTAAAAACAGCGGTGAGTTATAAAATGTCATAAAAAAAAATATCTTAGAAATTATATTTGTACCTATTGTTATTTATTTTGAAAGTCAATTTGAAATTATTAAATAAACTTTAGTCATTCATTTTGTGAGCTGGATTTACACATTGTTTATATTAATTAATTTTTTGTTGTTATTTTGATTTAATTTTAAAAAGAAATTGTTTAAAAGTTAATTTATATATCATACAAGAGTCTCGTGAAAAATGTTCTATTACAGTTTGAATCGGAGATATAACAACGGAGATATACGCTAATGTCCTTTTGGCTTTTCCGCTGCGCATGATATTTCTCTTTAATGTTTACCTATACTAAAAATTTAGCGAAAAAAGGCAAAAAAAGAAGTTGGAAAGATTTTGGTAAATAGATAATTGAAAGGAGCGAAAACCCTGATCAATATTAGCCATTTTTTTTATTTTGAGAGTTCAAGAACCTATATTAAGTATGTTAAAATGATTTACAGTCGAGATATCTTACCAAAAGATGGTTCAACGACGCTGGGAATGATTTCTTCAACATGCAGCGTGTTCTGATACTTCTTAACAGAAACCATATCTTTAGAAAGGTTGAATTTTTGATCTCCAATGGACAAATCATAAGATCTATAAAAAGTAAGATACAAAAATGATTCCGAACATTTAAATAAAAAACGAACCCTTCGTTATCCAATTTCTTCTCTAATTCCACTAAATCGTTAATATTTAAAGCAGCTAAAGCGTCCGTGATGGTTTTGGCGTCTTTTTTGAACGTTTTACCCAACAATCCCTTATTGGCTTGCGCTTCGACGACGTCTTCGATTTTCGGTTCAGCGAGTTTTTTTTCTGCAGCCAATCGAACTCCAGTGGCATTCGTGTGCTGAGTAAGATCGTACGCCGATCGGTCGGCACATCCCACACATTCGATCCAACCCTTCGAGAAAATATTCAAATTATAAAATCTTCAAAAGATTAAATAAACTAGTAAAAAGTGGTTTGCATCGTTGAATATCTTTTTAAAAGCTCTACAAACTAGCTTTTACTAATTTATGCTGGGTTGTCTGTAGGACAAGATAATAGCATTTTCAGATTAAATTTTAAGAAAAAACTGATTTTGTTAAATAACTTAACTATCGTTTAAACTAGGAAGAAGTGGTTTGCATCGTTGAATATCTTTTTAAAAGCTCTACAAACTAGCTTTTACTAATTTATGCTGGGTTGTCTGTAGGACAAGATAATAGCATTTTCAGATTAAATTTTAAGAAAAAACTGATTTTGTTAAATAACTTAACTATCGTTTAAACTAGGAAGAAGTGGTTTGCATCGTTTGAATATCTTTTTTAAAAGCTCTACAAACTAGCTTTTACTAAATTTTAAGAAAAAACTGATTTTGTTAAATAACTTAACTATCGTTTTAAACTAGGAAGAAGTGGTTTGCATCGTTGAATATCTTTTTAAAAGCTCTACAAACTAGCTTTTACTAATTTATGCTGGGTTGTCTGTAGGACAAGATAATAGCATTTTCAGATTAAATTTTAAGAAAAAACTGATTTTGTTAAATAACTTAACTATCGTTTAAACTAGGAAGAAGTGGTTTGCATCGTTGAATATCTTTTTAAAAGCTCTACAAACTAGCTTTTACTAATTTATGCTGGGTTGTCTGTAGGACAAGATAATAGCATTTTCAGATTAAATTTTAAGAAAAAACTGATTTTGTTAAATAACTTAACTATCGTTTAAACTAGGAAGAAGTGGTTTGCATCGTTGAATATCTTTTTAAAAGCTCTACAAACTAGCTTTTACTAATTTATGCTGGGTTGTCTGTAGGGCAAGATAATAGCATTTTTAGATTGAATTTTAAGAAAAAACTGATTTTGTCAAATAACTTGACTATCGTTTAAACTAGAAAGAAGTGGTTTGCAACGTTAAATTTCTTTTTAAAAGCTCTACAAACTAGCTTTTACTAATTTATGCTGGGTTGCCTGTAGGACAAGATAATAGCATTTTCAGATTGAATTTTAAGAAAAAACTAATTTTGTTAAATAACTTAACTATCGTTTAAACTAGAAAGAAGAGGCTTGGAATGTTAAATTTCTTTTTAAAAGCTCTACAAACTAGCTTTTACTAATTTATGCTGGGTTGTCTGTAGGGCAAGATAATAGCATTTTCGGATTGAATTTTAAGAAAAAACTGATTTTGTTAAATAACTTAACTATTGTTTAAACTAGGAAGAAGTGGTTTGCATCGTTGAATTTCTTTTTAAAAGCTCTACAAACTAGCTTTTACTAATTTATGCTGGGTTGTCTGTAGGGCAAGATAATAGCATTTTTAGATTGAATTTTTAAGAAAAAACTGATTTTGTCAAATAACTTAACTATCCTTTAAACTAGAAAGAAGTTGTTTGCAACGTTAAATTTCTTTTTAAAAGCTCTACAAACTAGCTTTTACTAATTTATGCTGGGTTGTCTGTAGGGCAAGATAATAGCATTTTCAGATTAAATTTTAAGAAAAAACTGATTTTGTTAAATAACTTAACTATCGTTTAAACTAGGAAGAAGTGGTTTGCATCGTTGAATATCTTTTTAAAAGCTCTACAAACTAGCTTTTACTAATTTATGCTGGGTTGTCTGTAGGACAAGATAATAGCATTTTCAGATTAAATTTTAAGAAAAAACTGATTTTGTTAAATAACTTAACTATCGTTTAAACTAGGAAGAAGTGGTTTGCATCGTTGAATATCTTTTTAAAAGCTCTACAAACTAGCTTTTACTAATTTATGCTGGGTTGTCTGTAGGGCAAGATAATAGCATTTTTAGATTGAATTTTAAGAAAAAACTGATTTTGTCAAATAACTTGACTATCGTTTAAACTAGAAAGAAGTGGTTTGCAACGTTAAATTTCTTTTTAAAAGCTCTACAAACTAGCTTTTACTAATTTATGCTGGGTTGCCTGTAGGACAAGATAATAGCATTTTCAGATTGAATTTTAAGAAAAAACTAATTTTGTTAAATAACTTAACTATCGTTTTAAACTAGGAAGAAGTGGTTTGCATCGTTGAATATCTTTTTAAAAGCTCTACAAACTAGCTTTTACTAATTTATGCTGGGTTGTCTGTAGGACAAGATAATAGCATTTTCAGATTAAATTTTAAGAAAAAACTGATTTTGTTAAATAACTTAACTATCGTTTAAACTAGGAAGAAGTGGTTTGCATCGTTGAATATCTTTTTAAAAGCTCTACAAACTAGCTTTTACTAATTTATGCTGGGTTGTCTGTAGGGCAAGATAATAGCATTTTTAGATTGAATTTTAAGAAAAAACTGATTTTGTCAAATAACTTGACTATCGTTTAAACTAGAAAGAAGTGGTTTGCAACGTTAAATTTCTTTTTAAAAGCTCTACAAACTAGCTTTTACTAATTTATGCTGGGTTGCCTGTAGGACAAGATAATAGCATTTTCAGATTGAATTTTAAGAAAAAACTAATTTTGTTAAATAACTTAACTATCGTTTAAACTAGAAAGAAGAGGCTTGGAATGTTAAATTTCTTTTTAAAAGCTCTACAAACTAGCTTTTACTAATTTATGCTGGGTTGTCTGTAGGGCAAGATAATAGCATTTTCGGATTGAATTTTAAGAAAAAACTGATTTTGTTAAATAACTTAACTATTGTTTAAACTAGGAAGAAGTGGTTTGCATCGTTGAATTTCTTTTTAAAAGCTCTACAAACTAGCTTTTACTAATTTATGCTGGGTTGTCTGTAGGGCAAGATAATAGCATTTTTAGATTGAATTTTAAGAAAAAAAACTGATTTTGTCAAATAACTTAACTATCCTTTAAACTAGAAAGAAGTTGTTTGCAACGTTAAATTTCTTTTTAAAAAAGCTCTACAAACTAGCTTTTACTAATTTATGCTGGGTTGTCTGTAGGGCAAGATAATAGCATTTTTAGATTGAATTTTAAGAAAAAACTGATTTTGTCAAATAACTTAACTATCCTTTAAACTAGAAAGAAGTTGTTTGCAACGTTAAATTTCTTTTTAAAAGCTCTACAAACTAGCTTTTACTAATTTATGCTGGGTTGTCTGTAGGGCAAGATAATAGCATTTTCAGATTAAATTTTAAGAAAAAACTGATTTTGTTAAATAACTTAACTATCGTTTAAACTAGGAAGAAGTGGTTTGCATCGTTGAATATCTTTTTAAAAGCTCTACAAACTAGCTTTTACTAATTTATGCTGGGTTGTCTGTAGGACAAGATAATAGCATTTTCAGATTAAATTTTAAGAAAAAACTGATTTTGTTAAATAACTTAACTATCGTTTAAACTAGGAAGAAGTGGTTTGCATCGTTGAATATCTTTTTAAAAGCTCTACAAACTAGCTTTTACTAATTTATGCTGGGTTGTCTGTAGGACAAGATAATAGCATTTTCAGATTAAATTTTAAGAAAAAACTGATTTTGTTAAATAACTTAACTATCGTTTAAACTAGGAAGAAGTGGTTTGCATCGTTGAATATCTTTTTAAAAGCTCTACAAACTAGCTTTTACTAATTTATGCTGGGTTGTCTGTAGGGCAAGATAATAGCATTTTTAGATTGAATTTTAAGAAAAAACTGATTTTGTCAAATAACTTGACTATCGTTTAAACTAGAAAGAAGTGGTTTGCAACGTTAAATTTCTTTTTAAAAGCTCTACAAACTAGCTTTTACTAATTTATGCTGGGTTGCCTGTAGGACAAGATAATAGCATTTTCAGATTGAATTTTAAGAAAAAACTAATTTTGTTAAATAACTTAACTATCGTTTAAACTAGAAAGAAGAGGCTTGGAATGTTAAATTTCTTTTTAAAAGCTCTACAAACTAGCTTTTACTAATTTATGCTGGGTTGTCTGTAGGGACAAGATAATAGCATTTTCAGATTAAATTTTAAGAAAAAACTGATTTTGTTAAATAACTTAACTATCGTTTAAACTAGGAAGAAGTGGTTTGCATCGTTGAATATCTTTTTAAAAGCTCTACAAACTAGCTTTTACTAATTTATGCTGGGTTGTCTGTAGGACAAGATAATAGCATTTTCAGATTAAATTTTAAGAAAAAACTGATTTTGTTAAATAACTTAACTATCGTTTAAACTAGGAAGAAGTGGTTTCCATCGTTGAATATCTTTTTAAAAGCTCTACAAACTAGCTTTTACTAATTTATGCTGGGTTGTCTGTAGGACAAGATAATAGCATTTTCAGATTAAATTTTAAGAAAAAACTGATTTTGTTAAATAACTTAACTATCGTTTAAACTAGGAAGAAGTGGTTTGCATCGTTGAATATCTTTTTAAAAGCTCTACAAACTAGCTTTTACTAATTTATGCTGGGTTGTCTGTAGGGCAAGATAATAGCATTTTTAGATTGAATTTTAAGAAAAAACTGATTTTGTCAAATAACTTGACTATCGTTTAAACTAGAAAGAAGTGGTTTGCAACGTTAAATTTCTTTTTAAAAGCTCTACAAACTAGCTTTTACTAATTTATGCTGGGTTGCCTGTAGGACAAGATAATAGCATTTTCAGATTGAATTTTAAGAAAAAACTAATTTTGTTAAATAACTTAACTATCGTTTAAACTAGAAAGAAGAGGCTTGGAATGTTAAATTTCTTTTTAAAAGCTCTACAAACTAGCTTTTACTAATTTATGCTGGGTTGTCTGTAGGGCAAGATAATAGCATTTTCGGATTGAATTTTAAGAAAAAACTGATTTTGTTAAATAACTTAACTATTGTTTAAACTAGGAAGAAGTGGTTTGCATCGTTGAATTTCTTTTTAAAAGCTCTACAAACTAGCTTTTACTAATTTATGCTGGGTTGTCTGTAGGGCAAGATAATAGCATTTTTAGATTGAATTTTAAGAAAAAACTGATTTTGTCAAATAACTTAACTATCCTTTAAACTAGAAAGAAGTTGTTTGCAACGTTAAATTTCTTTTTAAAAGCTCTACAAACTAGCTTTTACTAATTTATGCTGGGTTGTCTGTAGGGCAAGATAATAGCATTTTCAGATTAAATTTTAAGAAAAAACTGATTTTGTTAAATAACTTAACTATCGTTTAAACTAGGAAGAAGTGGTTTGCATCGTTGAATATCTTTTTAAAAGCTCTACAAACTAGCTTTTACTAATTTATGCTGGGTTGTCTGTAGGACAAGATAATAGCATTTTCAGATTAAATTTTAAGAAAAAACTGATTTTGTTAAATAACTTAACTATCGTTTAAACTAGGAAGAAGTGGTTTGCATCGTTGAATATCTTTTTAAAAGCTCTACAAACTAGCTTTTACTAATTTATGCTGGGTTGTCTGTAGGACAAGATAATAGCATTTTCAGATTAAATTTTAAGAAAAAACTGATTTTGTTAAATAACTTAACTACCGTTTAAACTAGGAAGAAGTGGTTTGCATCGTTGAATATCTTTTTAAAAGCTCTACAAACTAGCTTTTACTAATTTATGCTGGGTTGTCTGTAGGGCAAGATAATAGCATTTTTAGATTGAATTTTAAGAAAAAACTGATTTTGTCAAATAACTTGACTATCGTTTAAACTAGAAAGAAGTGGTTTGCAACGTTAAATTTCTTTTTAAAAGCTCTACAAACTAGCTTTTACTAATTTATGCTGGGTTGCCTGTAGGACAAGATAATAGCATTTTCAGATTGAATTTTAAGAAAAAACTAATTTTGTTAAATAACTTAACTATCGTTTAAACTAGAAAGAAGAGGCTTGGAATGTTAAATTTCTTTTTAAAAGCTCTACAAACTAGCTTTTACTAATTTATGCTGGGTTGTCTGTAGGGCAAGATAATAGCATTTTCAGATTGAATTTTAAGAAAAAACTGATTTTGTTAAATAACTTGACTATCGTTTAAACTAGGAAGAAGTGGTTTGCAACGTTAAATTTCTTTTTAAAAGCTCTACAAACTAGCTTTTACTAATTTATGCTGGGTTGTCTGTAGGGCAAGATAATAGCATTTTCAGATTGAATTTTAGGAAACAACTGATTTTGTCAAATAACTTGACTATCGTTTAAACTAGAAAGAAGTGGTTTGCAACGTTAAATTTCTTTTTAAAAGCTCTACAAACTAGCTTTTACTAATTTATGCTGGGTTGTCTGTAGGGCAAGATAATAGCATTTTTAGATCGAATTTTAAGAAAAAATTGATTTTGTCAAATAACTTGACTATCGTTTAAACTAGAAAGAAGTGGTTTGCAACGTTAAATTTCTTTTTAAAAGCTCTACAAACTAGCTTTTACTAATGTATGCTGGGTTGTCTGTAGGGCAAGATAATAGCATTTTGAGATTGAATTTTAAGAAACAACTGATTTTGTCAAATAACTTGACTATCGTTTAAACTAGAAAGAAGTGGTTTGGAACGTTAAATTTCTTTTTAAAAGCTCTACAAACTAGCTTTTACTAATTTATGCTGGGTTGTCTGTAGGGCAAGATAATAGCATTTTTAGATCGAATTTTAAGAAAAAACTGATTTTGTCAAATAACTTGACTATCGTTTAAACTAGGAAGAAGTGGTTTGCATCGTTGAATATCTTTTTAAAGGCTTTACAAACTAGCTTTTACTAATTTATGCTGGGTTGCCTGTAGGACAAGATAATAGCATTTTCAGATTGAATTTTAAGAAAAAAACTAATTTTGTTAAATAACTTAACTATCGTTTAAACTAAAAAGAAGTGGTTTGGAATGTTAAATTTCTTTTTAAAAGCTCTACAAACTAGCTCTTACTAATTTAGGCTTGGCTGTCTGTAGGGCAAGATAATAGCATTTTCAGATTGAATTTTAAGAAAAACTGATTTTGTCAAATAACTTGACTATCGTTTAAACTAGGAAGAAGTGGTTTGCAACGTTAAATTTCTTTTTAAAAGCTCTACAAACTAGCTTTTACTAATTTATGCTGGGTTGTCTGTAGGGCAAGATAATAGCATTTTTAGATCGAATTTTAAGAAAAAACTGATTTTGTCAAATAACTTGACTATCGTTTAAACTAGAAAGAAGTGGTTTGCAACGTTAAATTTCTTTTTAAAAGCTCTACAAACTAGCATTTACTAATTTATGCTGGGTTGTCTGTAGGGCAAGATAATAGCATTTTCAGATTGAATTTTAAGAAAAACTGATTTTGTCAAATAACTTGACTATCGTTTAAACTAGAAAGAAGTGGTTTGGAACGTTAAATTTCTTTTTAAAAGCTCTACAAACTAGCTTTTACTAATTTATGCTGGGTTGTCTGTAGGGCAAGATAATAGCATTTTTAGATCGAATTTTAAGAAAAAACTGATTTTGTCAAATAACTTGACTATCGTTTAAACTAGAAAGAAGTGGTTTGGAACGTTAAATTTATTTTTAAAAGCTCTACAAACTAGCTTTTACTAATTTATGCTGGGTTGTCTGTAGGGCAAGATAATAGCATTTTCAGATTGAATTTTAAGAAAAAACTGATTTTGTCAAATAACTTGACTATCATTTAAACTGGAAAGAAGTTGTTTGGGACGTTAAATTTCTTTTTAAAAGCTCTACAACTAGCTTTTACTAATTTATGCTGGGTTATCTGTAGGGCAAGATAATAGCATATACTGGGTAATAGAAGGAAATTAAAGATTTTGTATTTCGAGTGTATAGAGGCAGTGGCACAGTAATGGGGGATTTTAGACCCAAACGCAAAAACAGATGATTTTGAAAAAGTTAATCTTCTATTAATGCAAGTCAATTGGAGAAATTATTAAAAGTAAATGAGGAAAATAAAAAAGAAATAGACTAACCTATATTTTTTTAAATACAAAATTCTAGCTGCTCCACTGTGTAGATGAGAAATTGTTTCAAACAAAAATGTTTTCCTAAGTTATAAAAGGGGATACTTACGTAACTGGTAAGACACTCTGCATCCCAACAATCGCACGCGTAATGGGCCATTTCGTTCGCCATGTGTTGCCTGAATCTCAACCTAGCTGGATCGACTCCGGATTTAACCAAAAATTGTTGTATTCTAGCCATGAAATATCCCAAAGTTTCGTTGGCAACCAATCCCTAACACATTCGTTGTCATTTAAATTGCATTAATATAGGTCAAATTTTGTAAATTTTCCAGGACATTAGTTCAAACACAGAGCTAATAATACTCATACAAGAAAAGAATCAATGAAAAACGAAAGCCATGACATAAGGATTTTACGAATATAAAAAAAATGTATCACATAATGTAAAGAAAGGTTGTCTTTTATTTATGAAAGCCTGAAGACGTTTAGGCAGTTCCAGAAGGTACTGAAACCTGTCCACTACATCTAGAGAACTGACAAAAGTCTAGAAAAGGTTAATTATAAAATATAATTTTCAAAAACATCAAAATTCTTAAATATACAGTATAATGTAGGTTATAACTTACTGAATCCACAGCTGTACCAATCGTGATCCTTTCAGCTGCTTTGCCATCCATTTGATTGCAAGCCGAATACAACAAAAGTTGCGTATCCCTAGCATTTTCAAATTTAGGATGTCTTTTATCATTCGGGTCGCAAAAATGCTCTATTTCAGCCATCGTGAACTCTCTAACTCTAATCAAACCGGATCTGGGCGAAATTTCATTCCTAAATGCATTACCTACAGTAATAAATTATTATTTCACTTGAAATTAATTCAGAACAGTTTTTTTTACCTATTTGGGCGGCTGCAAAAGGTAATTTTCCTTGATTGAATTCTAAAAGACGTTTGAAGTTTACGAAAATACCCTGAGCTGTTTCAGGTCTTAAAAATCTAAAATAAAGAATTTTTGTTGTATTTAAAGTTACTACAATTATTATATTATTCAATTATATACCCTTTAATAAGTCCTGAAGGTCCTATTTGTGTAGCAAACATGAGATTAAATTCAATTGGTTCAGTTAATTCGTTTCCAGTAAGAGGACTTTTCATACTGAATTTTTGCATCACTGCAGCCATTTCAGACTTATTCATACCATCTAACTAAAAACATTACTTACATCACAAATCTATATATATAAAATTGTTTGTCCTGACTGACGGACTGACTGACTGACTGACCTATCAACCTACATCCAAAACTACTGAGCCTAGAAAGCTGAAATTTGGAACATAGGTTTATTTTATAACCTAAGCATCCGCTAAGAAAGGATTTTTGAAAATTTTAACTTTAAAGTGGGGAAATTGGAGGAAATGGGGGGAGGGAACTTTTAATGAAACTCTTTGTTCTTTTAAGTTAGAAACATGAAAATTTAAAATACAGCTACTAAGCATAAATAAATAATGATGTGTTTCAGGGTTTTTGAATTTTCACATTTTAAGGGGGGAAAACGAGGGGTGAAAGTTTGTATGGGACTATTGATTTTTTTTTTGTTCTCTTTGAAGTTAGAAACATGAAAATTGGAATTGCAGCTACTAACTACAAATTATTAATGACGTGTTTCAGGGTTTTTGGATTTTCAGATTTTAAGGGGGGGAAATGGGGGGTAAAAATGTATTTGGGAGTATCTATATTTTTGGTTCTCTTTAAAGTTAGAAACATGAAAATTGGAATTGCAGCTAATGAATACAAATTAATAATGACGTGTTTTAGGGTTTTTGGATTTTCAAATTTTAAGGGGGGAAATGGGGAAGAAAGTTTATTTGAAGATATCGATTTTTTTAAAGGTAGAAGCTTAAAAATTGGAATTGTAGGTTCTCCTCATAAATAAATAATGAAGTGTTTCATTTTAACATTTTAAGGGGGGAAATGGGGGGAGAAAATTTGTTTAATAGTATGTATATATTTTTTTGTTATTTAAAGTTTGAAACATAAAAATTTGAATTACAGCACTGGTTAAAAATCAAAAATGATGTTTCATGGTTTTTGGATTTTCACATTTTAGGGGGTTACACGGGGGGGTTACACGGGGGTGAAAATTTTTTAAACGTTGGAAGTTGAAAATTATACTTGTAGCATAAATAAATAATGACGTGCTCTGTGGTTTTTAAATTTTTGTATGGTAGTATCATAAAAATAAACTATAATTAAAAAAAAAAACAAAATTTAATTTTAATAAAAATTAAATTAATAAAAATAAATAAAAATTAATAAACATTAATAAACATTAATAAACATTAATAAAAATTATAAAAAATTATTAAAAATTATTAAAAATTATTAAAAATTAATAAAAATTATTAAAAATTAATAAAAATGTATACAAATTAATAAAAATTAATAAAAATTAATAAAAATTAATAAAAATTAATAAAAATTAATAAAAAATATTAAAAATTAGTACAAATTAGTAAAAATTAATATAAATTAATAAAAATGAATAAAATAAATAAAAATAAATGAATAAGAATGAATAAAAAGTAATAAAAATTAATAAAAATTAATAAAAATTAATAAAAATTAATAAAAATTAATAAAAATTATTAAAAATTAATAAAAATTAGTACAAATTAGTAAAAATTAATATAAATGAATAAAAATGAATGAAAATGAATGAAAATGAATAAAAATTTATAAAAATTAATAAAAATTATAAAAAAATTATTAAAAATTAATAAAAATTAATAAAAATTACTAAAAATGATTAAAAATTATTAAAAATTAATAAAAATTAATAAAAATTAATAAAAATTAATAAAAATTATTAAAAATTAATAAAAATTAGTAAAAATTAGTACAAATTAGTAAAAATTAATATAAATGAATAAAAATGAATAATAATGAATGAAAATGAATAAAAATGAATAAAAATTAATAAAAATTATAAAAAATTATTAAAAATTAATAAAAATTATTAAAAATTAATAAAAATTAGTACAAATTAGTAAAAATTAATATAAATGAATAAAAATGAATAAAATAAATAAAAATGAATAAAAATTAATAAAAATGAATAAAAATTAGTAAAAATAAATAAAAATTAATAAAAGTAAATGAATAGAAATGAATAAAAATGAATACAAATGAATAAATAGAATAAAAATTAATAAAAATGAATAAAAATGAATAAAAATGAATAAAAAGGAATAAAAATGAATAAAAATAAATAAAAATGAATGAAAATAAATAAAAATGAATAAAAATAAATAGAAATGAATAAAAATAAATAAAAATAAATAAAAATTAATAAAAATGAATAAAAATGAATAAAAATGATTAAAAATGAATAAAAATGAATACAAATGAATAAAAATAAATAAAAATGAATAAAAATGAATAAAAATGAATAAAAATAAATAAAAATGCATAAAAATGGATAAAAATGAATAAAAATGGATAAAAATGAATAATAATGAATAATAATGAACAATAATGAATAAAAATGAATAAAAATAATCTAAATGAGTAAAAATAAATAAAAATGAATAAATATTAAAAAATGAATGAAAATCAATAAAACTAATAAAAAAGGAAGTCACATATTTTTTTATATTAATAACATGACTACAAGCGAGCAAAGTCGCGGGCAACAGCTAGTTATTAATAAAACTATTAAACTAACCTTAATAACTATATCTTGACATTCGTCCTTAGTTTCTTGGGTAGCTTTTTTATCCATTGCTATTTTTTCTAAATGAGATTTTATCAAATGATCTAATCGAAAGCATTCTCCTGTTTTCACATCTTTAACCATAAGATCAGCAAATCTATCTACATGTCCTGAGGCTCTACAAAAATTAAAGTTTTCAACTCCATAAATAATAATATTTATTAGTTTCCTAGAGTTACCTTTTACAAAGTCAATTTAATATTTTATAAATTAAGGAACAAATAATTACAAGAAGATAAACAGTACATAAGCAGTAAAAACTAAATAATGGGCAGAATGGCCTACAGAATCTAAACATTAAAAAAATTACAGTTATAACCAATTTACTTTTTAATCATTCAAGCGCAATCCATTTTAATCCAAAAATAGTCTGGAGCTTCTATAAATCTTTAAAAAATGACTCTTCCTTGCCTGGCACTATTTTTAAATGATAAAGCAGGTGATACCTCCCAATGCATCGCTGATTTATTTTCTGAACACTTTTCTAGTACTTAGTTATGAAAAATGCAATGAAGTCATACCACTTACTTGAGAACTGGTTCAGGAGTTAAAATAGAACAATCCACTTCTAACATCTGTTCTTCTAAAACAAAAAACTGCCTCCACGTTTGCAGTAAATTGGATTTGAAAGCGCATCCCATGGGTCCGAAATCAAATTGACCAGTTATGCCTCCGTAAATAGCGAAACTTTGATCGAAAAAGAACCGTCTTTTGAGCAGATCTTCCATCTTAGCCCGATCGAAAGTTACATTTGGGGCTAAACTCAGTTCTTTATCTTCCAGAATTTTTTTCCTTGCTTTCAATTCGGCTACTGCTTTTTTTACATCTATATCCGGTGCTCCGTCTGCTTTTAATTGACGTACTTTATCACCCTAAAGGATTTAATTTTAAAAAATTTCATTCTAACCTAAAAATTATATTTTACTCACCTGTTCTTTAACGCTGGCTCTTAAAGGGGCTAGAACTGTTTCGATTTGAGGATCACCCATAGCGTCGAAATATAAATTTAATTTAACGTTTCTGTGCTTCTTATTCTTACCCCACTGCTCTAAATAAGGGCTGATGTAAAGTGTTCTGGTTGTTACAAAATTGCACCTATTTAACTGTTTTTTAAAGATGTTATTGATATTCAAAGATGCTAATCTATGCAATGTCGAATACAGTCTCATATGGTTCGAATAGAAGGTTAAAATTTGCCACGAAGCATGCCAATTATCGGCAAAAGTGAAAGGAAAAGTTATTATCAATCAGCGATTCTAACCACAATTTCAACGACCTGTCACTGTCAAAATGATGGGTTTTGATATGACAACTTTGACAGGGTCAGGATATATAATTATATAGATTGCTCAAAACACGGTAGTTAAGCTTTTATATTTAACCGCATGGGCGCTGGTATTGCTTACGGTGTTCAAAATATAAACTTGTTTATGTCTAAATAAGGCACAGAACATACTGTTATATTTATTTCTTGCATATTTTAATTGATAAATTATTTAATATTACCTATATAAAATACTAATTAAGTTTGTTAAATGCTGAAATTTAATAAGTACAATTTTGTGGCAATTTTTTTTTTAATTGAACCTATATCTAGTTTTAAGAGCAAAATAAAACACAGTTAACAGATTTTTTATTGTTGTAATACAAGTATAAAGGAAGATTTGGGAATGTACATGGTATTACCTCATCCTTTAATTTTATATTGTAGAAACTTGTAATAAAATAAACTACATTTCGTAAGATACATATTGTGACTAGTTAACAATAAATATTATATTTAGACATGAATACATTATTTTACTTACATTAGAAGCTTTAAACAGACATTGAATTGATTTCTTCTTGTGTTTTCTTTAGCTGTACATTTAATTTTAATCCTGTTTTACAATCTGGAATGACGTAAATCTTGCTTTGATGTGTTTCGTCACTCATGTTACTTGTACTCAGGTACTTTTTTCACATTATTTTGATTCTTTTCACCAATATTTTAAAAAATCACTTCATTTTACATTGACTTACATAGAAAATTGACTCCGCTGTCATTAGACATGCCAAATACAGTCAATTTCGCGAAATTTATAAAAAGAACGGAAATTTGAAATTTGACCTTTGCCGATTCGCCTGCTTCTCTCTAGTCTTCATATTTAAAACCTTTCAAGTTTTTGATGTCTACTATTTCCAGTATTACTGTTATTATTACAAAAATAAAGCTAATTTTTCTTCTTATTGTGCACCTATCCATTTAAATATCTTTGATTTAATTTCCACTTTACTACTGTTTTTTTTTTCTAGTATTTTTACAATGCCAAAATTACAAAATATTGCCCTAAAATGCACGAATTATCCGCAGCTAGCTTTTGCTTTCCCTACCATGCACATACTTTGATTACTATACGGGGCAAGAGAGAGGTCCGACACGCCCTACATAGGGCGCGGCTATTTTGAATCCTATGACACAGCTTATAGCTAAAGAATCAGATCGCTCACTCTGCATCGGCCCTTTTTATCTGAATGTTCCAGCTTATACACTGCGCAACTTAGATAATACAATATATGACAACCGCCTATAATAAAACAGCAGTCTTCTGCGTATCCTCAATTTGTATCCCTGGAGTGGATGTTATTTTGGAACTTTCAACTGGTCCGAGTGAGCGAACTGATTCTTTAGCAATAAACTGTGACTTCAAAAATAATAGGTGCGTTTTAATCATCCGCCTCTGCTTCCGGAATTGTCGGTTCAGTCGTTTTAACCTGTCAGATTAAAACAAGAAAACCGACAATTCCGAAGCAGAAGCGGATGATTAAAACGCACCTATTAAAAATATTGCGCCAAGATGTAGGCAACACGTAATAAGGGTTCAAAATGGCGGAGTTTTCTATCTCCTTTTAAAAGGCACTCAGAAAGCTGCGCAGTGCTACTATTCTCCGTATAGTAAAAGAAAATCAAAGTATGTGCTACCATGACTTCTCACTGAGCGAATATATGATTCTTGTCGACTAATATTTGTAGAATACGATATTTTGCCTCTAACTAGAAATTTGTTAATATGTTTTTAGTCAAATAAAATTAAAAAAAAAACATAGATTTCATAAGTTTAAAACTAGTCATCAGCCATTTTTTTAATGTCGAGTTTCAGAAATATTTTAAAATAAGTACATGAAATGGCTAAAACGGACCTGCAAAGGTACTTTCTGCGCAATATCATCAGTAACTCCTGTAATGTAATGCGCAAAATACAGTTCACTGTCATTAATCAAAATCGGTTTTTAGCAAAAATGTTTTTTAAAACTAATTTTCAGCTTTTAAATGTAGTAAAATCAATAATTACCTTAATTTTTATTTCAAAACATAAGCTTATCTCTATTTTACCAAACGTGGATGATCAATCTATATAACTTTCTACATCATTGACCCTGTCAAATCACCAGGCACACAGGGTTGCCATATCATAACGCACGGGCTACATTGTTGAAGAACAGAGGACAGTGGCGCACGTTTATGATAGTGCTACATCTCCCAAAACAAGGAAAGCTTTCATATAAGAAAACCATACATATTTCTCTTTTCCTATTTAAATTACGAACAATTTTAAAGCTGTTTACCAGATATTATTTTAATTTAAACATGACACGAAACAAAAATAAAATTTGTAAGTTTTAAGAGGAAGAGGTGATAATAAAACACATTTTTATAATAAAAACTTAATAAATTATCGTCAATAATATACAATACTAACAAAAACAACAGTAATAAATTAGAATTATACAACTCAATTGGTATACACATCAGTTTGCGTTTAAATGTTCATCTGAAATTTTCAATCTTCAAAATATCTGAGCAATTATTCTAAAGCGGTCCATACACTATTATTATAAAATGTACTTAAAAAGGTTTGGAGAATGACGAAAATCTATAGGTATCTACTTAAATGTTTTATCAAACAGTTATTGACCTCGTGTTGGCCGCTTTTAAGTACAAAATTACAAACTAACAGTCATTTATTTACTCTAGATCACAAAAAATAGTTATACATACGTCAAATGTCAACTAATAAATCGTTTATATTACTTTAAAAACTTAACTGACTAGTTTTCCAAGCGCAATAGTGCTACAAATAAAACAATGTTTTAAATATATACGAATCAGACTTTGAAGACAACAAAATTTCCGTAGAACATCTAAACAAAGTCGGTGTGTCTCCAGGATTTGGTAGTACACACTCCGGGGCCCCTCCACCAATCGTTGACGTCCTCGTAATGTCGTTGCGAGGTCGGCGCGTGCATCATCGCGCACAAACGGCACCAAAAATATGTGTTGATGAACTCACCGGTGCCCTTCCACTTGAAGTACGAGTTATAGAGGGCGTTGTCGGTGTCTAGTCTGTGGAGGTAGGCGGCTAGTTCTTTGGGACCGTCGAATTCATCGACGTGTATATAGGAACCTGCAATATTATAAAAAAAAACAAGATTTAAGACACAATTCCAACTTTTTTCACGATATAATCACGATTTTTTTAGGTTAGAAACCTTCGCATTATTCAAAGTAATACAAGACGTCACAATGAGTTTAATAAAATGTATGTCTCAGATTAGCACGGTTGCAAATGTCTAGTTAGATGGCGCCACCTCATCGACAATACATTTTTAAATCTAACAAACGTTTCTTGACGTAATTAGGCAAAAATAAAAGACTGTACTTTGCATTTTAGGTTCTAAATATTATAAAAAATATTGGATAGTTCATAACTTTTAAGTATTCGTACTATATTGCTTATTTAAATACTATTTATGAAAAGTAAAATAAATGATTAACTTTGCAATATTCTTTATTCTATTTAAAATCTAAACCGCCTTAAGAGCATTTTATTTTTGTCTAATTACTTCAGGAAACGTTTTTTAGAAAAACCGCTGTCACTTGTCATTGAGAACGCGTTGACATTAGTCGTAGGACGCACTTTTCACGCCATAATATTTTAAATTCGTGCGGGAATATGTGGCCTTTTATTTTAATATACTACTTTAAAATAAATTTGTCAGGGGCAAAGTATATATTTGTTGCTCCAAATTGTACATTAAGGACTAAAAAATAAGAAAACAATAAAAACGTACCTTCAGGTGCACTTTTTTGGTAATCTTCGGGTCTAGCACCCATCACTATAGGAAGCACGTTATGCCCCAAACCATTAACGAATAGCTTTTCCGTTACGTAATCTCTGCAATTCGAATTTTCGAACGCCAAATAAAATTTGTAATCTTTCTTTAACGTGTCGAAACATTTCCTATCCGACCTGGGACACTAAAACAAACAAAAAATACATTCGTTTATAATTGAGTTGCAGAGTCGAAATACATATATATCAACGAAGACAAAACGCGAAATTTGTTCTTCTACGTTAATCTACGGCACGTCTTCTTTACAACGCCATTTTTCCCATTTGAAATGGACCAATAACAGCGGAGATATACACTTAGGCCCTTTTGACATTACCACTGCGCATAATTATTTCTTCAGCGTAAATTTATGTATTACTGTTTTTTCCGATTGAATCGGACTAATTACAATGAAGATATAGACTTAGGTCCTTTTGACATTGCCACTGTTTATAATTTTGTTCTTTAACCCTAATCTATACTAGTTCACGTAAGTAAACGATGGCCTCCACCTTGGATCGCTTAGCCGAGTCGCAAACTACTTAGTTTCAATCCTCAACACTGACAGGTGGCGCCATCTAGCGGCGACCTTCAGAAGCAAAGAACCAAAACGAACTTATGCCGCGTTTGAGAATCCACATCGGATGCATCTGAGATGTAGTAAATCTTTGATCACGTGATTCAGTATACGTAAATGTAATGGGACAGATGTGTCCGATGTGGATAAAAAAAAAACGCTCGAGATGTAAGAAAATGCATCCGATGTGGATTCTCAAACGCGGCATTAGTATATCTACTTTAGACACTTTTTAAAAGGAACAGTAATGCTGTCTTCTATACCATAAACGGGAAACAAATTGCCTAATTCAATAATCACGTCTAACGTCAAACATTTCCAGTGTAATATCTTCCAGGGTACCCCTGGAGAAAAAATATTTCCGGAAATCGATGTGGTTGTCATGGCAATATGTCAAAATAAAAGGTTTCCGATTGGTCAAAAATTGTTGGTGTGAAATTTTCGTTCAAACATAATAATAGTTAACAATTAATTTTTTCGAATTTAAATCAATTTCCTTAACCAGAAATAGTAGAAGGAAAAACTTGTAAATCCGGGCCTGCTTTTCCGCTATTTTAGTGAGTGCAAAAGACACGCCCACTGAAAAAATCTTAGAATATATATAGTCAGGAAGGAAGAATCCTAAACGACCTTGGAATCGCGATGGTATCCACATATTTTCTTTTCTACGGAGAATGGTCGCACTGCGCAGCTTTCTGAGTGCCTTTTAAAAGGAGATAGAAAACTCCGCCATTTTGATCCCTTATTACGTGTTGCCTACATCTTGGCGCAATATTTTTAATAGGTGCATTTTAATCGTCCGCTTCTGCTTCGAAATTGTCGATTTTTTAATCTGACAGGTTAAAACGACTAAACCGACAATTCCGGAAGCAGAAGTGGATGATTAAAACGCACCTGACATTTTGCTTGCTGCTGTCAGTGTCAGTGAATATTATTTTTGGAGTCACAGTTTATTGCTAAAGAATCAGTTAGCTCACTCGGACCAGTTGAAAGTTCCAAAATAACATCCAATCCAGGGATACAAATTCAGGATACGCAGAAGACTGCTGTTTTATTTTAGGCGGTTGTCATATATTGTATTATCCGAGTTGCGCAGTGTATAAACTGGAACATTGAGATCAAAAGTGTCGACGCAGAGTGAGCGATCTGATTCTTTAGCTATAAACTCTGGCATAGGAATCAAAATGGCCGCGCCTTATGTTGGGCGTGTCGGACCTCTCTCTTGTACCGTATAGTAATCAATGTATGTGGTCCCTAAACACTCGTGCCTGCACAGAGGCGTATTCACTTCCTATTTACGGTTAAAAATATGTTAGTTCTTAACAAAACCACTGTCATATGGATGGAAATAATAGAAAATTACCTTGAGAGGTCCACAAGTTCCATAAATATCTACTGGAATGTATTTGCCAAGTTCCCTTGCATAAGCTAAACGTCCATTACGGGCACCGCAGTTCGATACGAACCAGGCAACTTTTTTCGTTTTATTTTCAGCAAAATCTTTATTTTGCTCTTTCTGGCGAACCTGCGAAATTCAAACAAACAAAATAACTAGGTATTTGGGTATTAAGAAGAGAAAGAAGCATTTTGGCAGTAGAAATAGAAAGTATTACACACAAGATTTTTTCTACGATCACAACAAAATAAAATATTCATTCAATTAATTATGGAGCACACAAAATTATCTACAAAATTTCAGTCACAATACACTAACTGCTCCTTTATTTGACATCGATTTACTTGATTCCTCAGTTGGTTGTATGTTGTGTTGCCTACCTATTACTATGTATGAGTATACAGGTTTCATACTATTTAATTTTAGTACTTATATGTTGATAATTATTTACAGAAAATACTGTTGGATGTGTATATAAATAAAATTAAGCGTGCTCCAAAGTTACTTTCCGCTTAAGAGCGCCAATAAATGTCAAATTATGACAGCTGGCAGAAAACATCAACTTTTCAGGCTCTTTTCAAGGCGCAAATGCATACTTTTGATAGTGATTGTAGAAAAATATTGTTTTACGGCACACTATTTTAAAAAATGTGTTTTGTTTCGTATAAAGTCTTACCTGTGGATCGAAATAGGTCCATCTTTCGTACGGGGCAACAAGGTCGCTGTCCCGCCTGTAGGTGGCAGTCCAATTTATGAGATCAGCGAATTTTACACTTTGCGTATGGTAAGGACATTCCAAAAAGTAAATTATCCATATCTGAAATAAGAAATAAAAACAATTTTTAATATTTAATAATGAATAGCCAGTTTAAAATGCTAGGTTGATGCAACAACATATACATGTACAATATAATATATCTTATATGTCCAAACAACCTATTATATTGTATTGTGTTGGAAAGATAACTGTCGATAATAATTTTTTCTTCATCCTCATGTATATTATCCACTTTGTACATAAGCAACGTTTGAATCGCCACATCCGATGCATTTTTTACATATCGGACACATCTGTCTTACTACATTTACGTATATTCAATCACGTGATCGATTCACATCTGGTGCATCCGATATAGATATTCAAACGCAGCATAAATAGGCGATGTCAATCTACTGAACGGGTGCAATTTTATATCCATTCTAGTCTTTATATGAACTCCACCAATCACAATTCATATTCAGTATCCGATCGACTATTATTTTTTGTCAAACTGTCAGTATATTTTTAATAGACATAAGGTGAGTTCGGGCTACGTACTCATTTCATTCTAATCGTTCCTAAAGTACCTAAGGACCGATTCCACCGTTGTGTTAAATGAAGTTTAAAATTACATTTTTACATTAACAACGTCATTTTAATCTCCGTTTAATACAACGGTGGAATCGGTCCTAAGGCGTTCGGGAATGGACGGAGTTAAAATAAAAGTTTCTTTTTGACTTTCGGATCCAACAAGTTCTGATCCAACAGCTCAAGCATTGTTTACCATAGTTACAAGTTGTCTAGAAAAATACGACTACAAATCAAAACTTGTTGGACAATGTTATGATGGCGCTGGTGTTATGTCAGGGCAATTAAATGGTTTACAATCGAAGATATTAAGGAAGTAGCACCAGAGGTGGTGTTCGTTCATTGTTTGACGCATCGTCTGAATTTAGTCCTGTCTCAAACTTGTAACAGCATTTCGAAGTTTCAAACTGACATATGTATGAAGTTTTTGACATTTGGTCTATTTAGGGAGTACAATGATGTTATAATATTAAATGCGCGGGGTACCGCTTAAATGCAATCAAGCTGTTTAGGTTTGTAACCAATTTTACTGCCTGTCGAAGTAGACAAAATTTTTTATTATAGGTATTATTATTTATTTAAAATACACATCTACAATTACAAAAATTTTAATCGAGGCTACCCTTTTAATTTTGTTGCAACACCACTTAATGCATTGTCCAGAATTGTTAAAAAAAGAACAGACACCTAATTATTTATCTATTTCACACAGAGATGAGACTATTAAAAAAATAAAAGTAGACATTTGGAAACAAAATTTAAATTTTCGGAAGAAAAAAAAAATAAATGTAATATTTATTTGGACGAGTGTACGAAATATAATTAAAAGAACAAATGTGTTACCTGTAAGGAAGTTTGTTCTAAATTATATACAACAATTTTGTCGGGTGATATAATCATAGAAACAGTATCACAATCAGTTGAAAATGGAAACAACGTCCGATTAGATAACAATTATTCGAAGGTATTGAATCATCATACTCATAAATAAGACGTTTTAAAGATAATTGGAAATACTAATAGTAGATTGTATACCTACTAAAATTGTTAAACATATTACTTATTATGTAGCTGAACCTTTAGCTAATACAACAGGTTGGTCAATATCCTGAAGATTTGAAAGTAGGATTAATTTATTTATTTATACATTGTTCAACAGGTTAAACCCAATTATAGAACAGGAGTACATTTGGAAGAAAACAGTTTAACAAAAAGCATATAGATAATAATTTAAAATTACAGTAAATAAAAAATTCTGTTTGTGTTTTTATGTTTTCAACACTGCAATTAAATATATCCAACTGTTCACTAATATTACTATAATTATTACACATGTTATATACCGGTGAAAACTTCAGAAGTTGCTATACGTGTGTCTTTTTTTCCACCGGTTTGTTGGAATCGTTTTTTCGCCGATGCGGCCTTGAGCGCCTTTTGCTGGATTCGATTTAAGTATGGTTGACCGTTGAAATAAATAACAGTGGACATTTTGGATTAAAATTTGTGTTAATAATTTTATTTAAATGTACCTATGTCGTTGATAAAAATATTAAATAACAGCGGACCCAAATTTGAACCTTGCGGTATACCAGAGGTGGCGCAATATTTGTTAGACTTGAATCCATTTAATTGAACATATTGTGTTCTTTGAGAGAGATAAGATTGAAAAAGTGTGATCAAACTATTAGAAAGACCAAATATTCAGAGTTTCTGTATCATAATATTATGATATCTAGTCTATCAAATGCTTTTGTCATATCCGTATAGATGACGTCAGTTTGGATCCGATTATCAATATTTTTAGCTATTTGTTGTGTGATCACAGAAAGATTTGTTACTGTGGAACGCCCTTTAACAAAACCATGTTGCTGAGCTGAGATTGCGTTACAAACATGTTGATAAATACTACGTTCCAGTAATATTTCTAGAATTTTGTAGAAATTGCAAATGATAGAAATCGGCCTATATCAGTACGTTCACCCTTTTTAAAAATTTGATAGACTTTAAATCATTTCCACATCGAAGGAATTGTATTGGATTTAAGGCAGATATTTATCAAAATAGTTAGAGGGCGACCTAATACTGCTGAACAATCTTTTAAAATGAACGCAGAAATATGATCCGGTCCTGTGGTACGTTTAGGTTTAAGGTTTTTTAAAGCATCCTAGACCTACCTGGGTTTCAGAAAAATGGGTATATGAAGCTGAGATGGCTGGACGTCCTTTAATGATATGTTTAAACCCTTGGAAGCGACATAAGATTGTCCAAAATATTCAGCAAAGCTTTCTACTATTTCTGTTGGATTATTTAATGTTTTATTTTCAAAACTTATGGTGCTTGCAACTTTACCTTGGCATTGTTTATTATTAACGTATGCCCAAAATTTATTTGAATTTGCTGAGATTTCAGATTCAAGATTTGCTAGGTAATTTTTATAAGCTTCAGATACACAAGTTTTAATTTTAGCTCTGATGAGCTTAAATTCTTGAAGAGCTTGAATATTATTCTCGTTCTGATATAAGCGATGAAGTTTCTTGATAATAATAACTCCTTTATACAAAAAAGATGATCCCCTATGTTTGAACAATTATAGACATATAGCAGTATCAAATGTCATAATTAAAATAGTTGAAAAAGCTATGTATAATAATACTGCCGTGTTAATTCAAATGGCCGTAACTACAATTTTCATTGAAATAAAGGTATGTCCACAACGCATGGCAACAATGTATTTTTTTATCCATCTCATGTAGCGTTTGAATATCCACATCGGATGCATCTGAGATGTGAATTTTTTATCACGTGATAGAGAATTAGATCTGAATGTAGATGTAATAAACAAACGCTCTAGACCAGTGGTCGCCAACCTCTGAATGTGTTGAGCTACTTTGTTAATTTTGGAATAAACAGCGAGCTACCCACACGGAAGCCACGTAACGCAACGTAAATGAAATAATCCACAGTTAATGTATCATTATATGTATTTATTTTACTATTTAACTGGTAATACATAATACATAGGTACTAATAATAAACTAATAACAAAATAACTAATATTACTTGTACGTACTTGTTCATAGCTACATTCCTATCTACCAAACGAAGGTGTTTGAAAAATAAACACAAACTTTTATCCAGCCACAACGACATGTCACGTAAGATTTAAAAATAGTTAATCATAACAACAAAAAAGTAACGCACTATCATGAACATAAACATTGAAAAATAAAAAAGCACGTTCAATGAGAAGACTGACACTCAGACTCATCGATAATTTTTTTAATGTTTGCAGTATAATTTGATACAGCCATTTGAATACAATTATCCAAATGTTCATCTGTAAGTCGATTGCGATATTTGTTCTTAATAAACTTCATATTGGAAAAAGAAGATTCACACAAATAGGTTGAACTGAATAATGCTTTCACTTTCAAGGCAACACGACATCGAACTGAATATTTGTCTTTACTTACAAAAGGCCAGATACATTTGGTACTTGAGACTAACGATTTTAAGCCTAAATCATTTTGAAACTCAATTACTTCCATTTCTGTTGCAGCGATGTCTTAGCCAAAGTTCTGCATAACACAAGTTGCAAACTGTTGGATATCAATTTCCATAAAGGGTGAAACAACAAACTGCGCTACTAAAGCCATTTCGTTGAAATCCTTAAAACGATTTTTGTAGTTATTCTTCAGGGTAGAAACTATTTCTACATGATATTTGCTGTCATAGGGTTCTAATGGATTTTGAGATATTTTTTCTGAAAGAATAGGAAAATGCTTGGCATCGCTGTTAATTAGGTTTTGTTCCCAAATTTTTTATAAATGCTTTTATATCAGAAATCGTTTCCGCTAGTTCTTTGTCTCTCCCCTGAAGCTGCAAATTAAGTTCGTTTAATTTCTCTGTAATGTCCAAGAGAAAACCAAAATCTCTAAGCCAGATTGAATTTTCTAGTTCCGGAGTCGGTTCATCGCGTTGTTTGAAAAATTGAACTATGCCAGATAGGACATCATCAAAACGTTTCAGCACCCGTCCTCTACTTAACCATCGGACTTCAGAGTGAGGGAGTAGGTCCCCGTATTGACAGTCAACTTCATCGGCCAAGGTTTTGAATAATCTTCTTTGTAACGCTTGAGCTCTAATCTTGTTCACAATTTTTACTACCAGTTTCATAACGTTGTTTAATTTCAGGAAATTTCCACATAATGCGTGCTGATGGATAATGCAGTGGTAACAGAGAAATTGCGGAAAAGTTTCATCTTTACGACATAACGCCACCAGATCCTTATCACAACCCACCATAGCTGGAGCGCCATCGGTTGTCAAGCCTACCATTTTCGATATTGGAATTTTCTCGGAAGAAATAATATTTTTTAAATGAGAAAACAACTCCTGTCCAGAATAAACTTCAAAAGATCTTCTTTAATCGTAAAATCACTAAAAACCATCCTGACGAACACGGCCAT